AATATTTAAGCTTAAAATTCTTATTTAAGTATATATTTTAGCTATATAACTAATAAGTTTTATATTAGTATAAAGCCTTTTTATTAGGCTTTATAATCTATTAGGCCTTTTCCGTGTAACAGGCTTAGAGGGTTGGGAAGCGCTTTGTGGTGATTTGCTCCTTGCAGATAGCCCATTTTTCATAGTTTTCAAAGTCGGGGAAGATGTCTTCCTTCTCGCAGTGCTTTTCGTCATGGGGAGGATCAGTCGCTCCTCCGAGGGCGGCCAGGGACAGGAGGGTGATGACTGTCTTGATGAACATGGCGAAGGTCTGGTAAAAGCATGGTGTGGTTGTTGTGTTATTTAATATATTTTAAAGGTCAGGAGGAAATACTAGAACAAACAGGAATAACCTTCCCGAAGATGGAGTTTATATGCCTGAGTGTTTACTAGTTGCGTTTGGCCTAGGTGATTCCATGTCGTCTCGAATGTCGCCAACGGTCGAGGCCCGTCGTGAGGAATGGGCGACAACATAATTCACAACAAATTGCATATGTTTGAGGCCTAGACATTGCGTGTCTTGGAAATATCATACCGACCAAAGCCAGCGCCAAAGGAGTTGATGATTGTGGCTTCTCGGGGCATCGTTGGAGCCGCTCGCGGACATTTGGCTAGAAATAACATGTCGGCCTGTCCCGGTTTTTAGGGATTCCGGATGGAATGCTGCTGGTAACGGTTTTGACTGTTTGATTCATCATGTAAGGGGAGTGTTTGCGGATAAACAAGACGGGACGCTCTTGAGGAGCTGGGTATCTTATGTACCTAGGTATTTACATAGTTGATGCTCGGGGGCATATTTTAAGACCTTCATTTGGCGGCGTCATTGCATCGGCATCAGCCGACGTCTAAATAAACATTCTTGAATCCAACTTCATGTCACAAAAACAACGAGCTCTTATTGAGCAGCATCCGTACCCCGCTATACGGCGATGAAACTAAGGGTACAGCATTGAAGCTTTCGATGTTGGTAACAAGTCACCTAGCTACTACTGCATCCCATGTATCTGGGGTATAGCCGTCTCTAAAACTGAGTTATAAGTCCACCTATGTACATGTAACGTTGTTAGAATACCCTTCTTTTCTCGGTTTAACCCTAGGGCAAAAATGTTGGTTACTGTCTGACCATCAAGCTGTGCCAAGCTTCTCCCTTGCATTCTGAATAGCCTGTTAATTTCCTGAGACAATTCTTGCGAAAACGCCTTCACGAATTTCTCTTTTGCTGTTACACGGAAAAGGCCCAACGGATCGTGAATCTCAACAAAGGGGCCTCGATAAAGGACCTGTTGATTACGAAGATTAAACATGAGCCCGGGCAGGAGACCTAGGCACGGCCGGGCCGTTCCCTTCATGTATATACAGTGGTCACTAATCCCTCTCTTCCTTGTAGAAAACCAAGGACCTTTGAGACCCTTCAAGATTATTTCTGAATTTGAACCTTGGTCACAGTAGGAATTCGACGAACTCTTACCAAACGTATTTATGGTGCTGCACCAAACGACCTTGCGTGTGACAAGGGTTCAATATGAAGGCTTGGAGCGAAAAGGGCTCAATTCAATAATAATCTCGTAGGATATCAAAGGTCCTGAGTTGCTAAGAGGAAGGAAGAGTAAGGTGACTGCTTTATATACATGAAAGGAACGCCCAGGCCTAGGGCTCTTACCTGGGCACCTGTTCCAGCTGTGTAACCAACAGGTTCCTCATCGGTGAAGCCCCTTTGTTGGGCTTCACGATCTGTTGGGCCTTTTCCGTGTAACATTGCGCCTCTCCTGTCCCCGGATGAGCCGCGAGAAGGCGGCTGACGGACTTGCGAGACGCTTCAGAGAGAAGCAATGTAGCTTGAAGGGAAATGTGGCTTACGGGCTGGAAGTCGGGCAGTTACGAAACGTAACCGGCTGGCGCAAGCAACATGACGACAACGGATTTTCAGCGATGATGGTGCCATCGAACTTGTATTGAACGGAATATACTGACTATATGCAAGCCCGTTCGCATCTGGTGGTGTCCGCATCCGGGTATCCAAAACTCCTCATCTTACCAAAAATACGCGTATAAACCAAGAACCACCGGACACAAATTTCCAAAATTGGCGTACCTGCGGATTTAGCACACAATGCTTGCCCTTATCACTATCGCATGCATCTCATCTACTATGGCAACGTGTCCTTCCAGATACTATTAGCCGTACTATTTCCAACGAGCGTTTCCGAGGAAGACGACGGCATTACAAGTGCCGAGGCCATTCAAAAACAAGCAAATTTGCTGCGTATGGTAAAGTAGTAGGTGGCGTGGGGATTGGATGGGCATCTTCTGTTGCCATTGCAGTCGTTGCTCATCTCTGGTGCCTAAGCTTCGCATCAGCTTCATATTCGAGATCCTTGAGGATGTCTCGTATTGTGAGCTTTATCGAGACCTCTTGCTTCGCCTCAACGTCGGCCCCTAGATTCACCACTTATCTCCAACTTTAAAGTAGTCCGAAAGTGAAAAGCGCCGACGTAAACAAGGCCAAGGCCACCTTTTCCAATTTGATAGCCAATACAGTATTTTATGTTAACAAGTGTATCCTACGAAAAGACATTGAGATGGTTACCACCATGTTAATTTTTTTCATTCCTGATGTTCGTACCTTGATGAAGTAACGACGCCGCTTTGGTAAGGCATGCGAGAAACAGGGTGATAGTCTGCCATCAAACCAGCTGGCCTTTTGGGGAATCTCGCCAGCACTGAGCCGCTTGCCTAATATAATGCGACGCAATAGGTGTGAGCTTTGTCAAGGATGACGATGTCCCTGTTGTCAACTTCATGCTTCAATACAGCGGCCTACCTTCACACTTATACACGCCATGTTACACATGGCACTGTCAGCCAGCCTTCAACAGGGTTAATGCTGGTGGCCTTTTCTGCTTTTACTGAGAGATGCAGCCACCAGGCCGCTCATACTCCCGCTTGCAAATAATAGGCTAAAGAAGTTATGTGTACATATGAGAGCAGTGTGATGGAGTAACTCGCTGCACTGGATGGCGAACTTTGCGTCCATTTGACAAGACAGCCGTCGACGCTTACAAAAGTGCCCAGCGTATGCGGCGTAGCATTTATGTGGTGTCACCGGTGTGGCTACGTGGAAGCGACGGCTACAGTCGCTTGCGACACGCTGTGACTATTTCACTCTTATCTTGTCTTGCCGCGATGACTCTGTATCCTAGTCCAAAAGAATGTAGCTGTCCCTCCATCTTCTGCAGCATCTCCGGGTAGTGAACTATTGGTCTGTCGCTTGGAAACGTGAACCGGTTAACCCTCAAGCACGTAGTGCCTCCGGTGATAAGTGACATTACCAGAGGCAAGCCATGAACGCCACTCGCTTTTCCCATGTCCGACGTTCAGATGACATGTCAAGTATGAGATGAGCGGTATACTTTGCATCGGGTAGATCAACGTGTAATTATACTTAGTTGATGCATGATGTCATATGTAGGCGGTTGCTACATACTCCCTATACGATTGAGGGGATGGAGTCTGGACCCGTCACACCCGCACCTGAATGCACTCGTTTCCAAACTTGGGAGGATCGGGGACAACTAGTCTACAGCATCTCTCCCGTGTAGTAGTTTTCTTGTGTTGCAATTGGAAGCGGGGTAGGGTTGCATCCAGAGTAACCGCCTCTTTATCAATTTATAAAATGCTGGTCTTTGACGCGAGGAAGGATGGTGATGGAGAGATTTAGAGCCAGGCCGCTATCAAAAAACTAAAGCTCCCCTTCTTGTTGCTCATTTTCACTTCTAATCTTCCTTACGACCATATCTATTACTCTTCATCATGAGCACCCCAAGCGACAATCATGACTTTGAATTTGCTCAAAAGGGTCTTGTTGCTACTTTCGTAGATCCATTCATCTACTCCGATCGGAAGCAAGAAGTTATCTGGAACAATAACGCCTACAATTACCTTCAAGAAGAGGCCCCAGAAACCGCTAACAAGTCTCTATGGAGACAAGGGCAGCTCTGCGCCGTGGAAGCAGGTCTCTACCAAGTCAGCACTGGGATTTACCAAGTGCGTGGGACGGACATAGCCAACATGAACATTATCCAGATTCCGGGTACCAACGGCATCATTATTATCGACTGTCTGACCTGTGTAGAGACCGCGCGAAAGTCCCTTAACCTCTACCAGGAATTCCACAAAGGCCAGTTTGGCCAAGACCCAGAGATTAAGGCCCTCATCTATACCCATTGCCATGGCGATCACTTTGGTGGCGCCCAGGCAATTACAGAGATTGCGGGTGATGATCTCAGAATTATTGGTCCTGACGGTTTTCTGGAACATGCTGTGAGTGAAAATATTTACGTTGGAGCAGCAATGGGCCGGCGGTCGATTTATATGTACGGAGAAGGACTGCCGAAGTCGCCGACAGGACAAATTGGCTGTGGGTTGGGCCAAGCGTTGCCGTCAGGAACCAGCTCCTTGCTTGCGCCAAATCAATACATCAAGCAAGATGGTATTTTATCCCCTAGTATTGAGGGGCTAGAGATTGTTTGCCAGTTGACCCCGGGCACAGAAGCCCCGGCCGAAGTCAACTTTTACTTTCCGGCATACAAGGCCCTTTGCATGGCGGAAAACGCAACTCATACCTTACATAACATCCAGACACTTCGGGGCGCCCAGGTTCGAGATGCGAGACTCTGGTCGCGACACCTTGATCAAGCTATTGCCTTGTTTGGCGACAAAACATCAGTCGTGTTTGCTAGCCACCACTGGCCGACTTGGAATGAAGACGACCAGAACTTGGTCCTCCCCTTCCTGGAGGAGCAACGCGATTACTATGCGTACCTTCATAACGAAACGCTCCGACACCTCAACAGCGGCCAGACTCCCGTGGAGATTGCCGAAAGCATCCAGATGCCGCCGAATCTGAGCTCCAAGACGCACCTCAGGGGGTACTATGGGTCTGTCAACCATAATGTCAAGGGCGTGTATGACAAGTATATGGGCTGGTTCGACGGTAACCCGGCAAATCTATGGCCGCGTACCCCCGTAGAGTCGGCGACGCGATATGTCGCCTGCATGGGCGGCAGCGATCAAGTTCTGGCCAAGGCCAAAGACTTTATCGCGAACAACGATTTGCGATTTGCAGCCACTCTTTTAAACCACCTCGTTTTCGCCGACGACAAAAATGCTGCTGCAAGGAAGGAGCTGATATCAGTCTATACAACACTTGGGTACGGTTGCGAAAACGGCACGTGGCGCAACATTTACTTGACGGGGGCGTATGAACTGGAACACGGACCCGAAGCTGCTGTCAACGCAATGTCACTCGAGTCTTTAATGTCTGTTGACCTCGACGAGCTCTTTGACGTGGTGGCCATCAACGTGGATGGCCCTCGGGCATGCAATGAGCCGGGCGTCACCATTGAGTTCATGATAGGCGATATGAAGGCGTCGCCGAAGCAGCCGACTGAAGGTGCGGGCTGGCACGTCCGGCTGAGCAACGGTGCCGTCACGGGACGAGCTGTCGAGTACGTTCCGTCTCCGGAGCCGCGGGACCCCAATGTTACATTAACCGTGTGGCTCTTGCACAAGGCTCTTGTTGAACTGGTGGCATCGGCGGTGGCGGGTAAACCCACGAGCATCGACTCTCTCGACAACGTGACTACCTATGGGGATACGCTTGCGTGGGATATGATTACATCACTCGTTACACAACCAAATGTTGCGTTTAACATTGTTACTCCCTAAGTTGTATCTACTGAATAGCTAGAATGATTTGAATGAGACCCCCTTTCAACCCCTTGGTGCGTGTGTGTGTCAAGCCATCCAAGGAAAGTACTATACCTTGAGTAAGGGTTTGAAAACTAGAGTTATCACCATGGTTTGATTGGATCAGGCGTCAGGAGGTTAAAGGCTGGCGCGGCGACATGGGTAAACAATCCCCCTTTCCAGACGCGCTGCAGCTTTAGACCAGTTTCCGGACATCTATCCTGGTACCTCTTCGACCACCAGATATTCAACTTTTAAGGCGTCAGCCATAAATGTGCCATGGACTGCTATTCAGCTAATAACATGGCCATTCTCGCATAGACCAAGCCGCGAGACAACGACGCATCACCACCCATGCCTAGATTAAGACCATCCACTCGGCTCGGCAAAGCTATTTGGATCAAGTGTGTATTAATTATACGTTTTCCTCTTCTCCCCTCCAACCCATCTCCTTCATATTGTGTGTGGGCTCAAGCCCTGTTATTCCTTCGAGTATTTGTTTATTTCCTTGCAAACATACCTTCTATAACAGATCAGTTTCACGTGCTGGTTGGAATAATTTAACAACGTCCTGCACTTGCAGTTTGTAGAACCGGGCGTTATCGGCATAAACAGGTAAACGAGCAAAGAAAAATATAGTTTACCCTACACTTTTTTTTTCTAAATCATACCCAGAGCAGAAATTCCTCGTGCTATCTGCTCTTTGCTACTCGTGCCACAGCTCTGGATAGCTTGAGTCGCAGTTCTCCTTAGGAGATTACTTTTCCTGCTTGTGTACAGCCGCTTGAATAAACTCTCACTCTCTTGCTCGTAGTCTTGTAGTCTTCCTTCAGGTTTCGTTCTGCCTACTGATCTTCCACCGGTCCGAAATTGGCGACATCCCACTGTCTCTGGGGGGGCAGCGTCCAGAGCATGGCCATATCGTGGGAATTAATTAGCGGCTCTTTTCTATGATAATACATCGGCAGCCTGGTAACCGGCTGGCGGCATACCTAGATAATAGAACCAGGTAAATTGCTGACTAAGATTTGCGCCGGGATGACGGCGAGTCACGTATAGACTCGTCGACGCTTGCTCATCATGATCGACGCGTGTCAGTATCCGAGCAGCGACTAAATGATCACCTCCTAAAATCGGACATGCTCTGCCCGGAGGAAACACTCGCCATCCAATGAATTTATTCAAGTATTGTAAAGCACGGTCGCTTACGGCCTTGGCACTTCGCCATGGCCTCCGTCAGCTGCGGTTGCACCTCGACTTGATTCCTCTTTGCCCATCGAAGAAGAGAAGACCCCATAATATGCGACCCGTCATTTCTATCCTGTTTTCCTTGGCCAGGTGCTGAACGGTAGATATCAAATTGCAACTAAACTTGGCTATGGATCAAGCTCAACAGTATGGCTAGCCAGAGATCTACACAGGTATTTATTCCCCTTCGCAACGTTTGACACTTCAGTTTTAACCTTAATCGTTCGGTTCTAGTTGGCGCTGGTCTCAACAAAGATACGTCGCGCTCAAGATCAATACCGTCAACCATCGCCATTGTCGGCAAACTTCTGAAAACGAACTCGCAATTTTTCAACACATTTCCGACAAAAGTCAAGGACATGAGGGTTGGAACTTTGTTAGAAGACTCTTGGGCTCATTCACTATTGATGGTGCTTCTGGAACCCATCTGTGCCTTGTTCTCGAATCCTTACGAGAACCATTATGGTTGTATTGTCGGAGGTTTGTCGGAGGGGTGATCCCCTGTAGCGTTCTCAAAATCATTCTGCAAATGACTTTGCAGGGGCTCGATTATTTGCATTCAGAATGCGAGGTCATTCACACAGGTTTGTCAGACTATCCAAAGTTCCAAACACTACATACAATATTAACTCCCAGGTAGATTTAAAGCCGGATAATATTCTGGTCAAGATTGAGGACCCTGCCATCTTGGATAGAGATGCTCGCGATGAGTACGTGAATCCTTTGCCGCAAAAAGTTACAGACAAAGGCATCATTTATCTTTCGCGAAATGACTACGGGCAGTTTTCCAAACCCACCCGGGATAATACAGATTACCGACTTCGGTTCATCGGTGTCGGGCAAGATACCACATTCTGGATGTATTCAAGCAGATTCCTACCACGCCCCAGAAGTGATTCTTGACGCTGGGTACTCTTATAGCGCGGATATATGGAGTCTGGGAGTCATGGTAAGACCCCCAATGTCAATAGCCACGGGGGCAAGTACACCATTAATAAGACAACTTTTTAGATTTGGGATCTCCTTGAGGGGAGACGGTTACTCGATCCGATTGATAAGCGGATTGGCGAGGAATATGATGAGCGCGTGCGCATTGCTCAGCTCACCGGTCTGCTGGGTCCACCACCTGATGATATGCTTTCTTGCGGTCAGAGAACATCAATATTTTATACGCCTGATGGTCAGTTTATAACTATACTGGAAACACGAAGCCAGCTCACTGAAACGCGAGTAAAGGTAGATTCAAGCACTCGGACCTAGTTCCTCAGGACATCGAATTTGAGAAGACCGTGGCTAGAATCAGTGGCCTGGAGAAGGCCAAATTCCTGGAATTCGCGAAGAGAATGATCAGGTGGAATCCAAGTGAACGAAGCACGGCTAGAGACTTGCTCAAAGACCCGTGGCTCTACGAAGATTATCCATCCGAGATGTAATCTTGGGCATGCCGACGCCGCGAGGTTATGCTGCATTCTCATACTAGCCAGCTCTACTAGCATGCTGATTTTGTGATTGCAGTCGGCTTTGTCATCGTCGTTGTCGACAGAGGAGTATACAAGCAGATTCACAAGTGAAGGCCGCCTTCTCTTTATACACGGGGGAGCCTAGCCTTTACGTACAATGCATCCTCTTCGTATTCTCTAATTATATTTTTACAGAAAATAATTCATTACATCTGTTACCCGCCCGCCTGTTCGCGGAAGCCTTTCCCCTCATGGGTTTCGGCTCGGACTGGACCCAGAGGGACCGATTAAGGGTCAAGCACACCGATTAAATTCCATTCACAACCCTGCCGCCATGGTGTCCGAAGGTAGTGCTGTGGCACAGGGCTCTTAGGACGGCTTGGCGGCAGGCGAGGGTTAGGGTTGGTCTGACTGTTCGCGGGTGGGGGTAAAAGATTGAATAATAACATGGAACATTGAACACTTTGTATCGCTCACACAAGCGAGTACTGCAGTGTATACCTAATGCAATTAACGGGTCAATGCGAATTCCAAGGCACCGGGGCGTTCCAATGTCTGCATTAAAGTCTGGTGGTCCCTGGTGCCTGAGCCCATGTGCCTGAGCCGCCGAACCAGGTGCCTGGCCCGGACCAATCACATTCATCAACCCCTGTTTCGCGTGCCCAACACCAGGATGGCCGTCGACTTGATCGCGGGTCCTTTCGTCCCCAGCCTCATTCCCACTCCATTTCCATTGTCATCCTTGCCTGTGCGAGGGCACTTGTCACTCCTTTACGGAGTACTCATTCGCTAATTCACCTATCCATCCGCCTCTCTCCCACTAAGAAGCGCCAGCCGCCCGCGCTCTCTGCCCAAGTGCCGGCTCTGCCAACGCAGAGACCTTCTCTCGTGTCCGCTTGGCCCGCCTCCTCACCGCATGCCGTCCGCCGCGCGCCAGTCCCCAACCCCCAGATTGATGGCATGCGCATTCCTTCCCTAGCTGCGACGGGCTTGTCGCTGTCGCTGCCTCGCCTTGGCGGCCACTCCAACTCCGACTCGGACTGCGGCTCGGCCTGCGTCACGCCGAAACGAGAAGACACTTCCACCATCTGGGCGACGCCTCACGACAGCTACTCGTCGTCGATTGGGGTGCCCGGCTGCAAGATCGACACGAACCGCGTGGCGTACTGGCCACAGTCGGTCGACTGCGACAACATATGTGTCTCGCTCGAGTACGACCATCGTCGAGTCTACCTCCTCCGAATCGACCAATCCACCGGCGCCCACGACGTCAGCTACGATGCGTGGAACTACCTCTACACGGGCAAGTCTGCCACGGAGAAGCCAACCGCGGGCGGTCCCGTGGCCATGCAGTACCGCAACGTCGATGCGTCGAGGTGCAAATCCCTCATTCACACCAAGGACAACAAACTACCCCTGAGCGCCGCCAACAGCATGAACTTTCTTGCCGGCTGTCTGGCGCAGCCCGACAGTTGGGTGGCAAACAACTACATGACGCTCAACATTGTTGACTCGATATGCACTCTGGGCGTGGACGAGCAGTGCAAATTACACTGGCCGGATGCCAATCAGCCGTCTTGTCCACACGTCTTGGGCGGGCAGGTTTCCCTCAAAGGCGCCCCCGTTTATAACATTCAGTACCCATCAGGGAAGAAGGTCCTGGCTTCATCCGGACTCCCCAGCGCTGGCGGCGGCGATGAGGATAATGCTGCTGGACGTGCCCGATGCCCGTGGGTCTTGCTTGCCTGGTGCATCGTTGTTTTTCTGTCTTGTTACGCTTTTTAATGCCATGGCGTTTGTTTCAACTTTGTCTTGTATACCCCCTTTACTTTACATTTACCTAGAGTGTACGCCGCGCGACGCCACACTGATGTACATTTACCCATTTATTCATAGCTACGGAATTGAGCCTTCTTTTACAGTTTATTGAGCATGTACCGTTCGGTGGCCGACCCAATTTGAGGTTGCTACCGAGCTTAGATTGAAGCTTAAAAGCTTGTTATAGGACCCAAGCAACGCCTCGTTTACGGGACTGGGGAATGTGCCGCCAGAATGGCCTCGGCCGGCGGCTATGGTTCCCGATGCAAGTTAAAATTCTTCAGTTAAAACTATGGGCGGCCGACCTTCTCACAGCCGCGGCGACATCCGAATTCGATTACGTACCCGAATCCCGACTGTTTAAGAATATTCTTCCGCAAGTGCGGCAGGGGTTGCATCAGTCTCGTCATCTGACCAACTCCCCAAGCCGTCGTATTACCAGTAGTTATATTCAACTCAACAGCTTGGCATTATACCCTGCCCCGTCGCGACCAACTCTTGCGTCGCCGCGGCCCTCGGCCAGACCAATCCCACACCCTTCGGCTCTTGGCCGCCGTGGAGGAATCCCCGTCTTGTCAATCTCCCGAACCCATCCGGCGGGGCCCCGGAGCACTCACCTGAACAAAAAGACGCACAGTTATGCACCTTGGCTGGCAAACCTTCCCCAGGGAGAAATCGTGGGTAAGGACATGGCGCTAATACGGAGTCATGGTTAGAACTATTGCGCATCGGTGGATCACAAACGCCCTGCAACCCGTAAAGGGGACAGGCTTGCGAGCGCGAGCTTTTGCGACCAGATCGACACATATATTTCCATTCGATTTCCCCGGATGAGGCATCTTGAACTCATCTGTCCATCAATGCGTCCTTGATCGTCCTTGATATTGTCGTCTACACTCATCCTCCATCACATCCGTCATGATGCGCAGCGTCTTCACAGTCTTGACTGCTATTGCAGCAACAATAGCAGCCAGTCCCATCTCGCACTCCAACACAACCAGCAGATCCCTCATGAATATAACGGACAGTATCATGTTCAACATCCCACTGCCCGAGTTCACCATCCGTCGAGACAATGAGCTACCCAACAAAGTAGACTGGACCAGTGACGGATGCACCAGTTCCCCGAATAACCCATTCAACTTCCCCTTCTTGCCCGCCTGCCATCGGCACGACTTTGGGTATGCCAACTTTAGGCTGCAGACGAGGTTCACCAGGACCAACAAGCTAAAAATAGACATGCAATTTCGCACAGAGTGAGTGCCGTGCTGCGCTGAACCGTGTCAACACATGATATAGTTGCTGACGCCCTTTTTTCTGGGAACAATAGTCTCCATTACCAGTGCGAACACACTTTCGCACAAGGGGTTTGCAGGGCCTTGGCAAATGTGTATTACTCCGCTGTTCGGGTATTCGGCGGCCATGACCAGACGCCAGGGAAGCGGATGAACAACGGGCTGCTCTGGGAATACCACGCCTTGGTTGACATTTACGAGGAGGAGGTCCGGAAGGCCCAAGCGGCGGGAGACCTTCCGCTGCTACAGTAGTCTCGGACATGTCTACAACTGATTCAGATATATTAGCCACTAGATCGAAACGGAGGTACTGAATCCTCTTGAACGGGAACTTCTTGGTGCACCGGTGCAATTTGATCCATTTGATAATGAAGCTACCTGAAACACACTCCTCCAGATCAATTTCATACCACTTGTCCCCCTGGCCGACGTTTCCGATCCTACTCGTCCGTCATCAACCTCCTACACGCTCTCATCATACTCGTACTTGAGTCGAAACTCGGCCGGTCCGTACTTGTCCAGCCTCCTCCCCAGCGGCGTCATATCCAACAACTGCAGCGTCGGCATGATTTTGTCCCCGCCCCTCTCCCAGGTCGAATAGGTGTGGAAAATATCCCCGTCGCGCTTGTAAAAGACACTGAAGCCGGGCACGTCGCCGGTCCACCAGCGCTTTCCCCTGGCCTCCATCTCCTGCTTGGTCCGGAAGTTCATCTCCACCGGGCACACGGACTCGTCAATCGTCGCGTGCAAGTCGTAGTTGAAGTCGGTGCCCTGGCTCGAGTACCACGGCCACGTCCAGCCGTTGGCCGCCTTGAAGGCCTGCAGCTTTTCGGGAGGCGCGCGCGAGACGCATACCAGGTTGGTGTCTTTGAACCGCAGGTGTCGCACGTCGGGGAGTGCGTCGGCGGTGTGAGAGCATCCGTGGCAGCCAATCTCTTCGTCGGGGCCAAACATGAAGTGGTATACGATGAGCTGGGGCTTGCCATGGAAGAGATCGCCGAGGGTGGCTGTCGCCCCGTTTTCATCGCGAAAGGTGTATTGCTTGTCTACCTTGACCATGGGGAGGGCGCGGCGTTGTTCCGTCAGCTTGTCGTTGGCCCGGGTGAGTTCCTTTTCCTTTTCGAGAAGATCTTTGCGGGCGGCGAGCCATTCGTCGCGGCTTACGACCTGCTTTTTTTTAGATGATTGTCTTTGATCTTGGTCAGCTTCCTAACCTTGTTGTTTACTGGCTCAACGGTAGTAGACATTGTGAATGGTCTGTTAGATGTCTTGTTGACGTTTGCCACTGATGCTTGGGTAGCTTGCTTCGTGAATGACGTGTATTGACTCGATGTGGGACGACACTTTTATACCCAATCTAATTTGGTGTATACTGTATACAAGAATGCCCTGGCAGAGAAGAGAACTGGTGCCGTGAAATCGCAGCCACTTCTCTGATTTGCAAGTGCTGTGGCGATGTGAATGGCGCCTGGGTCTTGAGCTACCGTGTGAATATTTCTGCAGCGGGGTAGTCAGAATGTGAATGGCTTCGTAGGCCTTGCGTGAAGGTGGCTGATGCCAAACTTAATTTATCACGCTGTATGCAAAGCAGTGGTTCTCACGGGGAGCGTTTCAAGCTGATGATTTGCTCCCTTGCGCCACATTGACTGCGAGCTTCGCATTCGGACAAGGTAGACCCAGGCCTGAACAGGCAAGGACAATTCGTTTCAATAAGGGCATTCAATGCCAGCTTCTTGCTTCTTTGTTATCGGCCACACTGGTCGGACCACAACGAGCAAATAGACATCTCTGCCTCGTTTCTACGAAATGTCCAGTTCTACAAGTCAGTAAGCACTACATCCAAGAAACCTTCAACTCTGCCTTATTCTTTGCCGCAATAATGGTGTGCACATGGTAACATGCGGTGCGAATAAAATCTCGGCGCCTGTTCACGCTGTTCCGCCAACGTGTTCGACCAATCACTAGGTGGATAGGCAGTTCGCTTTGCCTTTGAAGATCGTCTATACTTATCTACAACATCTACGTAGACGTGTTTCCTGCCCACAGCCCGGACTTTCTGTTCAGAAACCGAGGTTCTGTCACGTTATGCAATCTTTCATTCCCGCGTTACAGTCCATCAGGCCTTGTGGCGTTTCTGAAGCTCGTTAAGGAACAGAAATCAGTCGGTAGGGAAAGACTATGGAAATTCACCTAGGCTTGATTGATAATGACCAGAAGCTTTTGATGGGTCCACACTACATTCAAGAGCTATACGTGTATATGCACCTGTTTCGTATACTCAACTGGAATGCTCCAAAGGACGTACAACACCGGATAAATTGGAGCTCCTATACGAACTTACAAGATCAAACATGTGCCGTCAGTTGTCTTTGGAAGAATAATTGTGCCACGCCCGCGGTTGAACCTCCTTTTCGACAACGACTCGACTGGGGCGAGTAGAGCCCGAAGACATTGTGTTGTACACAACCTGAAGCGTCCACACAGGGAAGATGGCAAAGAATGTTTACCGACCTGCAAATTGTGGTTGGTTCTATCACTATAAGTCGCAAAAGACTTGGTTCTACAATGTACATGCATATTATTGATGACCCCGCTGGTTGGTAAAGTGTCTCTGATGTGCTTGTGTTTCAGAGCGCCTACATGGATGCTTCTTCCTGAGCCAGAAACTGCATTTGTGGTTTGTGGAATTCAAGGTACCGGAATATAGAATGCAACTTTTGCACAGCGTTGAGGCGTGTAACCGAACATGTTTGCAATAAGCCCTGGGTATTGAAACGCCCTTCATGTTACGGAATATCTGCCAAGCTAATTTAGAATGCTATTCATTTACAAACGCTCTAATTAAGACTTCTAAGCCTCGCTTGGTTGAATCTTGTTCCATTTGTTAAGGCGGAGATGCAGGCAAATGTAGATGATGACTGACACTGTGTCCAGAATTTCCGCGTTCATTGGCGTTTCTCATGTTGCCATTGATGGCACTGTCTCGCGAACCCCTCTCTCCCTAGTTCTAAGGGGCGGCCCGCTTGCCATAATTTGAAAGGTGTACCTTTCTCACTTTTCATGCATTCATTTTTCCGGTCTTCAAGGCCGGTGGTGGCATCTCTTTGGATTCGGTAATTCCGACAATGGCGGCGTATATAATACACTATTTGGTTCGTCGATGCTTTTAGACATCTCCAATCTTACGATGATATTGGACGCGGCGGCCCTACCTTTTCATAGTGGGCGAGATGTTTGATGGATCTGAATTGTAGAAACTCCGTTGCAAGCACCCTCCGACGCATGATGGTACTTGGTAACTAGTAAAGTATACCATTGATAGATAAGAAAAGCATAACTTTTTACTGGAGGGTAAATTTAAAGAGCAGTAGTTGTGAATTGTAAATGCGATGACTACTGGACGTGGATAGTGTTTTGTTGGTGAATTCTTTTAGGCTGAAGAATTCGAGATAGGCAGCCAGGGTATCTGGTTGTGAAATCGTACGAGTGGACTTCAGCCTAAAAAGAACGCAATAGTTATGCAGAGTCGTAAGACATCACTCCGATGTGGCATAAGTCTCTGGCTAATTTTCCCCAGTATGATCATGAGATCAAATCATCCAAGGCGGGTCGGCTTGGGTTGACGCTAAAAAAGCAATTTCGAACCGTCAAACACCATTAAGCCGCCCCAAGTTCCTTGCTGTTCACCTTGCTCCCATTATAAACCAATCTTGATAGCTGCTGCTTCAACTTCGGCCATGAACCTTGTCTGCTCTCGCTCAAAGCTGGCTTCCGCCAACTCGAAGCCGCGAGAAGGAATTATCAGATAGAGATAGTTACAAGCATCCAGTATTCTCTCCTCTTTTAGATCTCGCCAAAGCTTGTATTCCTCAAAAGCCAGCACGAAGCGGTCGTCCAGTAACCACCAGTCTAAACATGTCTCAATGCCATCGGTTATCTGCTCGAAGAAAGAAAGGGCCGCATGACCCAATTCACCACCTCGGGAATCAATTTTCACGGATTGAGGAATTCCCAAACCCTTCAGGGTCTCCCAAGACAAGCCTTGGATGAGGTCCCAAAAGAGTTGGCTGGCGATCCAGCAAGAAGGTGCCCTCGCTCCGAATGGCCTCACAAAAAAGCCCAGAGCCAATCCGATTTCCCAGGCGTCCGAATCAGTGCGGAAAATATCATGTCGCATTTTGTGACACAACTCGGCAGTGGGTGGCAACCTTTGGTCTTTTATTAGGAATTTCTTCAGCGTGAGTCCACGATCTAATAAGGTCTTGATCGACACCGAGTGGACCACAAAGTCGTCAGGAATGGCCCACTCGAACAAAAACTCATGTTTAAACTTGTCCGCATCACTCATGCCACATTTTTCGGCCAGTTTTTGGGCGGAATGGAAAGCTGCCGATGGTACTTTCCTGGCTGGTATTCGAATAAAGACAATGTAGATCGACTCCGGTGGCTCCTTGTCGACATAGTACTTGTTGAAGGCGCGTTGAAGAGTGTCAACAACTCTGTTGCTAACCGAAACTAGTGCAGTTGCATCTTCAAGGTAAAGCCTGTCTGCCTTGCGTCCGGGCAGTTTGCAATGAAGGAGAAAGTTATGCAGTAGAAGCTTCTCGTTGTCAGACAGCCTGCTACCACTCGCACCACGTCCACTGCGAAGACCACCGACGAGGTCGCTATCAACACCGCTATCGGATTTGATGGCAAGATTGCCAGCGCTGCTTGGAGAGCATGCCCTACTGAAGAATAAATCAGTCATAGCTGTGACAAAGGATTTTGTTTGATTTCAATGTTAATTTACTCATGCAATCTATCAAGACAAAGTGCAGGGCAAGATGCGCTGTTGTACCGGCATGTATGCTAACATTGAAGGGAATTCGTTTCCGGGTGAAATAAAATCCGTCCTTACATGTAGCGTGGCCAGGCCAGCCGAGCTTTCCAAACGTTGCGTTTTCGCGCCGGGCAAATTTGAATGTATTGGAAGGATCGACCTGACCTACTGCTCCCATACATTAGTCGCTATGTGTAGACGTCATCTGCCTGGTCTATGAGAGCCACGATGTGCCGCACGTAACTTTTCCGCCTTGATTGCTAGCTGAGGTCGAACCAGGCTGTAGAATCTATAGGCAAAAACGAATCTAGATTTTTACATTGCTCATCTGGCCCAAGTGTTTTAAACTGGCGGAGGTATGAATCGGTGATGCTCAAATGGAGTATTTTTGCGTAATATTTGATAGCGATAATCGCGATGACTACAGCCGAATGTAAGTTCCTGAAGACAGATACAGACTGCAAGGACATTTGATATGCACTGTTTACCATACAGGCTACTTGTCTGTGAAAGTCTACGAGCAAGTGCTTCACCCACTACTTGAGCAAGAAGCTCATCGGTTAAGACCGGAATACCGTCAATTACTTTCTGAAAGTCTCCTTTCGCCTCCGGAATTGCGATTTGGAAGTCGCCGTTCAATTGTGTGCGTGTGCACTGAATTCCACCGTCATCAATGGCCTCAAACCCCTTGCTCCCTTCCTCAGCCTCGGCAGTTTTATAAAACAATCGCTTATCGCGATATCAGACGCAAGGCAGCGCTTTGCCAATGGCTTGGGCGTAGTTGAGAATACATCAAGTGATGCAACTGAGGAAACGAATAGTAAGGTCCTCTACCAGAGGCGCTAAAGACATTGTACAAGGATACACCATAGGACCACTACGTCCAAGATCATCGTACAATTAAAGATGCCTATACGGTTTTCGCGGTCAGCGCTTCTCATCCGGTCGGCCTAAGCGATTTTGCTTCGATGCACAATACGTCTTTGCCCAGGAAATTTCGTGCCGAATCGGAACTTCGCATTTCGTGGAGTGCTGTTAGTTGTAGGGCTTTCGGCGCTGTAGACTGTAATCTTCAACCATGTCCCACGCAATTCACTGACTGTTGCTCCTCCCCGCCAGTTATGAGATGAAGGATGCGACCACGAAATGTTTCCTTGGGTTCGTACGGAACGAGAATATGTTGAATGTGCAGTTTATCTACCGGTATATCCTTGGACAGGAGAATAAGTCGATCCAGATAGGATCGTGACACGTCGGCTGTAAAAAGGTGCATCTGTGATGTATCATCTGGGTCGGAGAACAGTACGCGAGACTGAAGGGCCAGTCGGTTAGTTTCGAAACAGGCAATGAGTCAGACTAGAAAACGTACTCGATAGGAGTCTCGTAGGTTCGCCTTATCACTGCAGTCCTCAACCAATTGTCGGTTTGCTATCCCTATAATGAGCCCAAGTATGCGCGGATAGGGCAACTTTAACGACTGATTGAGAGGCCGTGAGTGCAGTGGGTGTACGGAGCTGCCGTCAATGTATGCTGTGAATAGACGTGGATCGGCGTGACGGAAAACAAGACATTCAAAGCTCTCGACAAGGCGACCGCGAAAAAAAAAAGGTAGGGTTGTCCTGGAGCAGATCAATTACAATCTTTAGTCCGATAGTTCTGAGGCTCTCACTCAAACTTGGACCCAGAGTGGGCAAGAAGGTTACGCATCATGGCTCTTCGCCAGCCAAGATCGCTATGCTTCAGGAGACACGCCACGGAGCCGGCACGCGAAGGTCCATGTTCCCAAAGCAGACAGCCGTCATCTGGCGCAGGTAGAGGGTCTTCAAATGAGCACAGAAACTCGACATGGCGGGCCGTCCATCGCGAGGGTTTGTCAAGAAGGTTCTCTCGTTGGAGGGTTTCATACAACTGCATGGTCAGGCACATGCGCGAAAGTTGCTTGTGCAGTAAAAGAGAGCGTGGAAATGTGGTCAGGGAGCTTTCTGGAGCCAAGTGTGCGTGGCCACGGTACGGATTTTATTTCACCCGGAAGGAATTCCCTTGCCGCTGGAAGCTTCAGTATTGTATTGCCTAAAGCATCATAAATCCGTCATCTTCGAATTGGTATTCGTAGTGGAAGTGGATGCCGTACAACTGCAGGTTTGGCAACGAGCGTATCCTGAATGACGGACCAGGGTTTTCGAAGGTGCCATGGTTTGCATGTGTAGACTGGATCCAGCTCCTGGATTGTATATGGGTCTACATGTAGTCTTTCAAGTTTCAACACGGTTACCCTTGGCAGCCGCACCTTGATAGGCAAATACCCCCTACTAGAATTTTAAAGTACTTATCGTTAAAACGCGCGGATTTTGTTGGCTTTATTCTTTGTGCCATCTTTCACGGAATTGGATCTTCATCTTCGACGTATGGAGTCTCGTATACAGTCCTCCTCTCTTCTCTGACAACATGCTCGACAGGAAAATTGCTGCTTGCTGGCGTAGGACTGTCGACGAAGAAGTTTGAATCATCTTCACTGTATCCCCAAGACAGAGGGCTCCGAGAGACAACATCCGTAGTAACACTGGGTGTGCCAGGCAGGTCATCTACATCGTGGTGCTCACCAGACGCGACGCCACTGCGAGCAAGACGCACGTCTTCTTCGCTATATGTACTATCCAATGAATCAACGCGGTCTGACGCCATCCCTCTCCCGCCTTGACCGAGAGTCGCGTCCGGATGGTCGTGGGAGTCAGTCTCCGCCGCTCCATCGACAGTTTCCCGCTGTTCTGCTCGTTCGTCGTCTTGATCCGTCTGGGGCTGCTCTACATCACTGCTCGGCTTGGGCTCCTTCTTCTCCCGCCTGTTCAGTTCCACTTCCAGGACACGTGTGCCCAGAGGGACCTTGGTGACGAGGCCGTCGTCATCGCGGTCGAAATATAAAGCCCATATGCCCGGGAGCTCCTCGACGGCAGCGAAGCCCTCCCATCCCTCTAGTGTCAGTCGCCGATCTTGACGAGTGCAGTCAAAGGGACCTGTGAGGTGTTGTTGCGCCGCAGATCGCTCACCGTATTTGACTTCGTGCGTATTCTTGTCGACGTATATCCAGTTGAGCATGGGTGGATCGTCGCTAATGGTACTGACCAGCCCTTCGTATGTTGAGTCTGGGTATGGCAAGTAGTAGCCCGCGAACGGATGCCCCCCGGAGAGATTGTGTGTGGCAAGATAGAGCTGACCAACAAGGAGCTTAGCTACATTCCACCTTTGACATGGGGTAGATGAGTCGGTACTTACCTTGGCATCTTTCAGCATGACCAATGTGCCGTCTATTTCGCGCTTTCGGACGGATGGTTTGATGCAGGACACCATCAGATTACAGCGACGCGACCGATGCTCCTCACGCCTATTTTGCGCCTGGCTCTGCCGTATCCCTTCTTGGGTTCCGAGCATGGCCGGACAGATGGACAGTGCCAGCAGCAGTGGGATTGCCATGGCGATATCTTCAGTGTCATTGAACTCAATTGTTATCTTGCCCATGGCGAAAATATCCAAGGCTTGTCCAACAACAATTTCAGTGCCATGGAGCCTGATGGACGGGCAATTGTTCGTACAACACGAGAAAAAAAACGCCCCGTAGTCATTCGCCGCTGACAAAAAGAATCTTGAGCATGGCGTCGCCGAGTCGCTTGAAAATCTCCGACAGACGGTTGTTCCCGACGGCACTGTTTCATGAATGTAGCCGCATCGAACCACAATGGGGCCAGTGACAGTATAACATCACGACACTCTGAGACCACTTTGGACAGGACAGCTGTGCACGACCGTTGCGGCGACAAAAAACCGCAGATCTTGCCGGCAATCAGGGCCTTTTTATGTTGCATGTCCCCTGGTTTGGTTGCGGTAAAACTGGTCGGGTTTGAAGCCATGTGGCGATCAGGTCAAATGCGATACAATTACGCGTCTCGGGGGTTTTAGCATCCAATACCACCCACGACTTGTCCAACTTGAAAAGTATGGGGAGTCCCTGGGAATACATAAATATAGTGAAATCATAAAAAAAGTTAAACACTATCCGCCATACATCAACAGTCTGCTACACACTACGAATCCTATATACAATGTCCACCCCGTCCTCCTCTGCAAGGTACAGCACTCTCTATTCCCTTAAGTACTGTGGAGCAACATGCGACAATAGTCACTAATCTTCACAGTGCAACCAAGTTGCCAAAGGCCGATGGAACCATTGGACCTTTTGGCGGCGAACCGGAAGTAGATGGTCAGGCTCAGGGCGGTCGTCGGAGACAGAGCCAGATTAGCCAGGCTGTACCTGCATTATCCTCTCTATCCAAGCCAGCTGGTCAGTTGCCACGTTTCACACGCTGCAGTTCAAGTCATGTTGATAATGATCCCAGGCCAGCTGCTGAGAGGAGCCACGGATGACAAGGGAGAGCAGAAGGCAGCGGCGCTGCTCGTTGGCATTAAACTTGACCTAGAAGCCGAAGTTCATTTAACGGCCAGGGTCAAGGGTGACATTTGCGTGGGGTTGTACTAAGCCTGTTATTGATGGCAAACGATTGACTCAAGTAACGCCTCAACAGTTGCACTAGGTGCATGTCCAAGTGGACTTTATTCATCTAGTGACTCTCGGGCTGCAGGCGTCTCGAAAGGAGGCACCGACGAGAAAGGGATAGACTAGCTTGGCTCGGTAGAGCTATTATTCAGTACCAATGATATTCGTGCCTTGATTGTCCTTCAGGCACTAGCCCTGTTTTATACCAATAGATACCTTGACATGAATCGAAACAAGACCCAACCTGCCGGGCACCCCAAAGCAAGAATACCGGCAAGGTTTGCGACCCACAAACACACCAGCGGAGAGCTCAAAAGATGTCCCTTTGTTTTCCTTTTCTTCCTTTGGATTCGAAACACTTGTTCACACTATCTAGTTGTCGATATACTCGCTAGATTACCATAACTGGGGCTCTTAAGGGATAGACTAGTCAGGGTTTGTATCAACAGAAATGTCACTGAGTCGCGACAGATTCTAGTACAAGCTAAGCATTGGGTCTTTCAAAGTGCCCTCGCAAATATGACAATATATATAATTTATTCAGGTTCACAGGGTAATATTCGTCGGTAAAGTGTTACGTAATCACACCATTTAGTCGCCAGGTGCTGTCAGGGCGAGTCGGTGCCAGATAGCTTTAGATATTAACAAAGAGTCTAGCGACAATGCCAACAATATCCAAAGCGGCATATATCATCTCCGCATATCGAATAACACAGACATGAGTAGGCTGCCAGTGCACTCCGACGGAGGCCAAGACGACTCCGCCGGAACCTTGGTTACGTTTCGCCACAAGATCCACCAAAGTCTAGACTGCCGCCAAACCATCTCGACAACTTGTTGCGAGTGTGCTCCGTTGGAGGACCGGTGTGGGGTTAAGCATAATGCAGGAACCTGGCTTGACCAATAATAAATAACGCCTGGGGCGACAAGTATCGCCGAAACCTTATTTGGGCCATCCTAGCAACTCGCAGCATCATGGAGACTTCAAGATCGACAGTGGCTTGGCCAGCTTGCCAATTCAGCCCTGTATGGAACGCCAGGGAATACCACACATACATGTGTAGGTTCTGGCCTGCCATCAATACGTCAAGTATAAAGAGGTCAACGGCCCACAGCCCCAAAAGGCCAATGCCACTTCCCCTCACCCGTAACTACTATTCCAGCTGCAGTAGTGCCTCAGTATCATCATGTCCAACACATCCGACCGTGCCCCGGTGGCTGACCAGGCCGAGTTCAATGCCTGGTTCCCGTCCAAGTACTCTCTCACGCAGTACACGGCCCCCAAAACCGACTTTGACGGCGCCGACTATCCCAATGCCTACAAGGGCGGCAAGTGGAAGATCCTCCTCATTGCCACCCAGGAACGATACCTAAAGATGGCCGGCGGCGAGTTCTTCTCTACCGGCAACCATCCCGTCGAGATGCTCCTGCCCATGGTCCATCTCGACGCCGCCGGCTTCGACATTGACATTGCCACCCTGTCCGGCGACCCCGTCAAGTTTGAGGTCTGGGCGTACCCCAAGGAAGACGAGGCCGTCAAGAAAATCTACGCCAAGTACGAGGACAAGATCCGCAGCCCGCTCAATCTCCAGGACATCTGGGGCAAGAACGGCTTCACCACCGAGACGCCGTACCTGGGCATCTTCATCCCGGGCGGCCACGGCGTGCTCAACGACGTGCCCTTTTCCAAACTCGTCGGTGACATCATCCGCTGGGCGCACGACAGCCAGCGCTACTATCTCACCCTGTGCCACGGTCCGGCGAGCATGCTGGCCGCCAACGTGGGCAAACCCGATGGAAGCAAGTTCATCTACGACGGGTACGAGATTGTCGTGTTTCCCGACTCGCTCGACACTGGCGCCAATATTGACATTGGCTACATCCCCGGCAAGATGCCGTGGCTCGTGGGCGAGGAGCTGAAGAAGCTCGGTGTTACGCCCCTCAACAAGGGCATCACGGGGCAGGTTCACCGGGATAGGTTTCTCCTTACGGGCGATTCGCCCCTGGCCTCGAATGCATTGGGCAAGCTTGCTGCGACTACTCTGCTTGAGGATGTTGCCAAGCGCGGTTAAAGTGTCGACATGGGAAAACGGTATACGCTCGGGTATAAGCGCCAAAAATGAAAAGAATGTTCAAGTATTTTCTAAAAGATATTTGTAATGTCTCAAATAAACAACGTACCGGCTATTTATCCCGGTTTCGCAACTATTCTCTAGTAACGTCTCGATGAAATTGGCAAATATCAAATGTGTTACGTGTAGAGAGTAAATCTGTAGAATGCCGATATTAGATACAAATCTTTTATGCCGTCTATGCTTGAATTAGACTCGAGGTTGAACTGGGCCAACTACAAAGCAGGGATGGACAAACGCCGAGGCTGTTAAATGAGGCCAATGACTTTGACGCGTGTAGTGGGAAGAAAATATCGACACTTCAACTATAAAGTCGGTTGCTGCAAATTGGCTGCCCTTTTCGACCGTCTGCCTGCGCGGGTAAGGCGTTGCTTTTGCGGTTTACTTTCTTTTCTTATTTGTTTAAAATAAAATTATAAAATTATTAAACATTATACTCTGGCGCATCTGGGAGACGCCAGCGATGAATATATCGATATCTGAGTGCCTACAACCAAGGACGCAAGGGCAAAACCAACCGGGTGATTGAGGGTTGAGGGGTTTGATGCTTTCCTTGGACATTGGATATGAGCTAGGCCAACCCTGAAAGATATTCAAGGATTGGGGCAGGGTACAAGGAAGCGTTAAGTGGCATTCAACGTTGAACCGTCCGGCGAGCAGTCAGCCAGGCAAGGCCCGGTTTTTCCCTGCACTGATTGGCTCGGAAGGGCCCGTGACGAAGCTCGACATTTCCTTGCTCAACGTCGACGAGACATTTCACTTCTCCTCCATCTCCGCTTCCCGGTGCCGGGCGCGTAATGAGATGCTATTGACTGCATCCTCACCTCTGCACAATCCAGTCGGTCTTGTGTCCACGACCCTTCCTGGCCGACTGCTACCTATGAGCTCGGCATGACCAAAGTCATCCTCGCGTGACGAGACTCTGGTGCCGCTCCTCACCCATCATCTTGCCGTCGAGCTCTTGACGTGCGCAAGGAGGCGCGCGCGTAATGGTTGGTCACTGTGGATTGCAGCGCATCGGGTCTACCGACGCCGCTCATCGCTTCTCCATGTGCGACAGTCATGAATACATCCAGCATCCTTCCAACATCTTTTCGTCACCATGACCAAAACTCGAGCCCAGCGAGCCGCGCGAGCCGCAAAACAGACCTACGTTCTGCAGGAAGAGGGTATGTTTTATGACGTGTCCGTAGGACGGCGTTAACAATCAACAGGTCAAAACTTTCCGAGGCGCAAACGTCAACGACACACATCTCCCAAGTCGTCCCAGGGACCCGCGATCCAAGGCAAAGATCGAAAACGAACCATTGATACTACACAGGGTCCGGCAGTTCAACCTACCACAAAGCGACCACGAGGACCGACACCATCCATTGACGACAGACCCGACCAAGCGGCGGATAGCCCAATCGGTTTCTGGGTTCGACAAGGTCACTGGCCGCCCGACCCTATGGCCGGTATGGAGCACGCGTTGGCGCGGAAACGCTGCAAGCGATCATATTCTGCCTCATCTACGACCCCAAGCGATCAAAGGCCGCGAGAGGAAAAGAGTGTACCATACCAAGATTCGCGCTATGAGACCTTACTTGTGACAAAGGGAGTCTTTATGCACAAATCAAAACTAGACGTTACTGGCGGAAGTAAAACACTCTGCGAGAACCTCCTTGAAAACAACCAGCCGGTCCCCGAAAACTCACTCTTCGACAACGACAGATTCGAATCGACATGTCAAAAGATTCATAGTAGGAACAAGGCTCGGATCATCCAAGATATTTCCCGATTAATTGTCCCTTCAGCCGAAAGACTGGCTACGATGGGCGCTATACACCTTAAGAACCTCGTGGAAACTGTTAATGAGGGATGGGATAACTCAATCCCCCTAACAGGGACGCGCCCACAGCCAGATTATGCTGTTGGATTCAGGCGAGACGCCTTCACTAAGGACCAGCTTAATAAGTTATCGCCGTTTGTTGGTGATTTTATCGCTGGCGATTTATCCTTCTTTATGGCTACTTATTACATGTACTTCCCATTCCTTGCTTGCGAAGTAAACTGCGGGACCGCTGCACTGGATGACGGGGACCTCCAGAACGCTCATACCATGACGCTTGCGGCACGGGGTATTGTCGAGCTCTTCCGTCTTGTGAACCGCGAAGAGGAGCTTCACCGGCAGATACTGTCCTTCTCCATCTCACACGATTATTGCTCAGTTAGATTATATGGTTATTATCCAGTCATTGACGGAAAGGACACCAAATACTTTCGCCACCTAATTCATAGATTTGACTTTACGGCGCTGGATGGCAAGGAGAAATGGACAGCGTATCGGTTCACGAAAAATATCTATGACCTCTGGATGCCTGAACATTTCAAGAAAATCTGCTCAGCCATCGATCAGTTGCCGGCGGAGATAGACTTTAGTGTCTCGGCACGCTCTGATACGACTATAAATAGACCTTTTTAGTCTCTTAAGGCCTTAAGGAAAACTAAGTACCTGTAATACTAAAAATTATTATTAGATAAATTAAATAATTATTTTAAGCTTTTATTATATTTTATTATATTTTATTATATTTTATTATATTTTATTATATTTTATTATATTTTATTATATTTTATTATATTTTATTATATTTTATTATATTTTATTATATTTTATTATATTTTATTATATTTTATTATATTTTATTATATTTTATTATATTTTATTATATTTTATTATATTTTATTATATTTTATTATATTTTATTATATTTTATTATATTTTATTATATTTTATTATATTTTATTATATTTTATTATATTTTATTATATTTTATTATATTTTATTATATTTTATTATATTTTATTATATTTTATTATATTTTATTATATTTTATTATATTTTATTATATTTTATTATATTTTATTATATTTTATTATATTTTATTATATTTTATTATATTTTATTATATTTTATTATATTTTATTATATTTTATTATATTTTATTATATTTTATTATATTTTATTATATTTTATTATATTTTATTATATTTTATTATATTTTATTATATTTTATTATATTTTATTATATTTTATTATATTTTATTATATTTTATTATATTTTATTATATTTTATTATATTTTATTATATTTTATTATATTTTATTATATTTTATTATATTTTATTATATTTTATTATATTTTATTATATTTTATTATATTTTATTATATTTTATTATATTTTATTATATTTTATTATATTTTATTATATTTTATTATATTTTATTATATTTTATTATATTTTATTATATTTTATTATATTTTATTATATTTTATTATATTTTATTATATTTTATTATATTTTATTATATTTTATTATATTTTATTATATTTTATTATATTTTATTATATTTTATTATATTTTATTATATTTTATTATATTTTATTATATTTTATTATATTTTATTATATTTTATTATATTTTATTATATTTTATTATATTTTATTATATTTTATTATATTTTATTATATTTTATTATATTTTATTATATTTTATTATATTTTATTATATTTTATTATATTTTATTATATTTTATTATATTTTATTATATTTTATTATATTTTATTATATTTTATTATATTTTATTATATTTTATTATATTTTATTATATTTTATTATATTTTATTATATTTTATTATATTTTATTATATTTTATTATATTTTATTATATTTTATTATATTTTATTATATTTTATTATATTTTATTATATTTTATTATATTTTATTATATTTTATTATATTTTATTATATTTTATTATATTTTATTATATTTTATTATATTTTATTATATTTTATTATATTTTATTATATTTTATTATATTTTATTATATTTTATTATATTTTATTATATTTTATTATATTTTATTATATTTTATTATATTTTATTATATTTTATTATATTTTATTATATTTTATTATATTTTATTATATTTTATTATATTTTATTATATTTTATTATATTTTATTATATTTTATTATATTTTATTATATTTTATTATATTTTATTATATTTTATTATATTTTATTATATTTTATTATATTTTATTATATTTTATTATATTTTATTATATTTTATTATATTTTATTATATTTTATTATATTTTATTATATTTTATTATATTTTATTATATTTTATTATATTTTATTATATTTTATTATATTTTATTATATTTTATTATATTTTATTAAATAATAAAAAAAAAAAGAAATATTATAACTATAAAAAACCAGGATATTTTATTAATAAATATAAGAAACCTAAGAAAGAATAAAAGCTAATACTAAAAAGAGGTAAGAAATAACTTAATTCTATTAATTAATAAAAAATTAAAGTTATTAAATTAAAGGTAAAATATAAGAACCTTAACTAAACCTTCTATTATAATAATAACTATTATATTTATATAAGTAGTAAACAAAAAAAAAATAATTTCTAAAAAAACTAAGAAAACTAAGAAAAAGAACTATAAACTTCACAGGAAATAAGCTATAAGTAGCTAAATAACTAGTATAAAAAGACCTAAATAAACAATTAATAAAGAAAAGAACTCTTATAATAACAGGATAAAAAAAACTTTAAAAGCTAATATTACTAAAATATTTAAATAAAAACTTATACTAAAAAATCCTTAATTAGGTATAATAATAAGTAAAAGTAAGAAAGGTTTAAAGGGAATAATAATATAAGAAAAAGTAAAATATATAAATTCTTACTACCTTTAATAAACCAGAAAATAAAGTAAAAAAAATAAGTATTAATAATAATAATATAATCCTAGATACTCTAGAAGCATCTAAAAATAAATAAAGTAAGAAAAAAACGCTTATAAAGCTAATAGCTATATAAGAATAAGTTATATAATAATATTTCCCTATACTAATAAGAAAACATTTTATAATTCTTATCCTAATAATAAACACTATTATAATAATAAAAAACCAAATATTATAGTTTTTAAAAAGAAAAAAGAAAAATAATCTTAAACTCTTACTAAGATATATAAAATATACACGTTTAATATAAGTATTATACACATTTATA